ATGAGGAGCTGATACCAAGGGCTCAAGTAGAAAGCAAATGTTTTGAGAATGATGATGGCAACAAATGTACAAATATGCTTGACACAATGGATGTATGTACGGATTGTGATAAGAGTTGTACGAGCCCCCAGTAAAATGATTTTTTAGAAAAGAGAGAACAAATAGTGGTCCAGCTCTCTTCTGAGGAGTGGTGTTCAAGGAAGTCTGTGGTGTCTTGGAACTGACTAAAAGTAGCTGTACAAGCAGCTGGCATTGTTTGTGTTGTAGGTATATGTCAGGTGCCGTGATGAATTCTAATTCTGATCCTCATGACAAGCCTACAAGGTGGGCAGTAACCTCTTAACATAAGAAATTCAGCTTTAATAACGTCAGAAAGACCCCATGGTCGCCCAATTAAAAGGTGAGCTGGAAACGAAGAGTAGGTCTGGCTGAGTCTCCTCCGAAGTGGGGAGGCTTGCTAATGAGGTCCCATTGGTGGACATGAGTTTCTGTTCCACCCCGAACCGTCCATTTCACCTAGCAGCCACCCTGGACCTCAAGCTCTGAGTGCTGAGGGACTAAAGGGAGGCTTCCATCTCTTTTGTCCCCCAGGAGCTATGTTCTTGGAAGGTTCCTTGGTAGCGCTGTGCTAAAGTAGTTGGCTACTAACCAAAAAGGTTGGTGGTTTGAACGCATGCTCAGCCTGTGGGAAAAAGGTACAGCAGTCTGTGGCCCCTCTACAGGCAGTTCTCACCTGCCCTCCTGGGCCACAGCGATTCGGAATCCACTGAAAGACAGTGGGCTTGGGTTGGGCCTTGGTAGTGTTTTGAACACATCCTACCAAATATCAAAAGTGACTCCCCATCCCTTTAAACTCGAGATTCTGTCCTGTGTGGACATTGTGTTCCTGCCTGCCTTCAGATCTTTGTATCTGCCATTCAGCCTGAGAACAACCAGAAGATTTGAGGTTCTGGGTTCTAACCATGTCCCCCACCTGCACCACCACCTTTTCCCATACATTGCCCCCCACCCCCAGGAGCTTAGAAAGGATCCTTAGAGTTGAGCCTGTCTGCCTTGACCAGCTTGTCCACTGTGATTCTTGGCTAAGGACGTGCCAAAACAGTTAACCAGACCATTAATTCTCCGCCTGTTCATACGCTACTTGCGCAGGCTAGTGGCGGTTTGTGAACCCGGCTTGCTGTCCAGTAGAGGAGCGCTGGTGCATGTGGCTCCTCAACAGGGACTGGCCCTGTGACTCATCTATTAGGGTGAAGCACTGGCTGCTTACTGAAAGGTCAGTGGTTTGAATGTCCCATAGGGTGGCGACTGACTCACCAGCAGTAGGCTTGTGTTCTAAACATTTGAGGAATTTCTATAAAATGGTCTTGCCTAGTATTTTATAACGTGACTTGACAAAAAGATATTTATTCATGAAAGCATTCCCCCTGTTTCGCCCCAACCCTAATAGAACAGGAGTTTCCAGGGCTCATTAATGCACTCGCGTTGCCCGCTTACATTTCAGCGTGCCAAGTATCCTTTCCTTGTCCTTCAAAGACAGCCCTACCCAGTCAGCATTTCTCAGATTTATTTTTTTTGAAAATGTGACGTTTCTTTTGCATTGAAGAATAAAATCTGAATGCTTCTGTGTCTCACTGTCATAAGAGGAAAATTACTGGCTGTTTGGGCCTCCCGCACACTGCAGCGGTCTCTTCAGACGTGCGGGAGTTGCCTTCGGGGTTGTTCATGCTGGGAGGTACTGCTATTACACTCCGAGCTCCAGCCAACGGACTCTCCCCCGTGAGCACAGAGGTTACCAAGCTTGGCCCCGGGCCTCTGCTCTCCATTAAGTATTCACACCACCCTCCGTGGTTAGTCAGGCTGTTCAGACCCGCAGTCACCCCTTTTGCCTTCCATGTTACAGTCACACCACGCGTGCATGGTAGAGCCAGGCTTGGACTCCACCACACCCGCTTGTCAATCTCCACACCTGCATGCCTGCCTGGACATCCCCGCCACCTGCCCGTGTAAGTCTCGTTCATTCCTCTCATGTCCAGGTAGGCGGCACCTTGTCAGGAAGGCCTCACACTTGGTGCCTACAGCAGAAGCTGCCTACAGCAGAACCTCGAGCACCGCCTGGGCGTGGGCTGGGGTGGAGATGCACTGCAGGGCCGGTTGGTACTCCTCCATCATCCCTTGTGCAGGGCTGGGCCTTGCACCCCTCTTCTGTGGGCGGAGCGCACCCTTGGTACGCACTCCTCTCTCATTCTGAGACTTCACTGCTGGCGCCTTAGCCTGCTGGTGGGTTACTGGAGGCGAAGTGGGGGCTGTGAGGGCTGTATCGGGGTGCTTTGGGTGCCAGCTCGGGTGGCTGCAGCCGACTAGACCATAGAGGTTCCCACTCTACACTTTTCCGCACACGACCTCCTTCTCTGGGACGCTCACTGTGGGTGCCCGTACTTTTCGTGTGATCTGAAGACAAGCCAGTTACCCATGGTCTTTTCATTCTATTTTTCACCACAACTTTTTAGAGATCCTTCCCCCTTAAACCACCCATCAGTATTTTTATGAACTATAATATAAATGGATTAAAGAAATTTTAAAGTCAGGCCCAAATTTTATTACTAGATTCCACATCAAGAAATAGCTGCAAAAATCTGCTAATGAAATGTGCAAAGTATGGGTCTAGGAAAATTGGAAGTTATCAAAAATGAAATGACATGCATAAAGGTCTAATCCTAGGCATTAGTGAGCCAAAATGGACTGCTGTTAGACATTTTTAATCACAAAATCACATGACTTACTCTTCCGGGAATAACACAAATTGAGAAGAGCGGCGTGACGCTCGCTGCCAAAAAAGACACTGGAAAATCGATCATGAAGCACAATGCTATCTGCTGATAGAACTATACCTATCCGCTTTCAAGGAAATGCAATCAATAGAATTATTATTTCAATTGATGTACCAACCACAAAATCTAGTGATGAAGAAATTGATCAACCGGCAATCAAGAGGCATTGATAATTATTGGTGATTGGAATGCAGAAGTTGGAAACAAAGAGGAACACTCTGTTGGAAAATACACACTTGATGATAGAAACGAAGCTGGAGATCGCATGATAGAATTTTGCAGAACCAACTTAATCATATGTAACTTCAAGATAAAGCTGAAGAAAAATGAAAACAAGTCCATAAGAGCCAAAATACAACCATGAGTTTACCCCACTGAATTTGGAGAACATTTCAAGAACAGATTTGAAGCACTGAACGCTAATGACAGAAGCCCTGATGAGCTGTGGGAGGACATCAAGATTATCATCCGTTGTGGTAGTAATTGTACAACAATGCTTGATATGATTGACGATGGAATGTTATATCTGTCGGACCGCCCAATAAAATGATTTTTTTTAAAGACCATTATTCATGAAGATAGCAGACGGTCATTAAAACAGAGAGAAAGAGGAGCTAAAGCAAGTGGAGGAAATGATTAAAAAGCTGACTAGAAAACTCCAAAGGGCAGCTTGAGAAGACAAAACCAGATATCATAATGGAGGACACAGATCTGGAATTAGAAAACCGAAAGGGAAGAACACTTTCAGCACATCTAAACTGGAAGAACTTGAGAAAAAATTCAAACCTGGAGTTAACATCTTGAAAGATTCTGTGGGAAAAAATATTGAATGATGCAGGAAGTATTAAGGGAAGATATAAAGAATACGTAGTCACTGTACCAGAAAGAATGAGTTGATATTCTGCCATTTTAGGAGGTAACGTGAACAAGAACCAATGGTGCTTGAACGCATTAGCCAAAACGAGGTTCCAGGAATTGACGAGAACACCCATTGAAATGTGTCAGGAAGCTGAAAAGCACTGGAAGCGCTCACTCGTCTAGCCAGGAGATTCGGAAGACAGCCACTTGGCCAACTGACTGGAACAGATCTATATTTGTGCCCATTCCAAAGAGAGGTGACCCAACAGATGCTCAAACGGTAGACGGATATCATTGGTATCAAATGCAAGTAAAATTATTCTGAAGATCATCTAACAATGGCTGCAGCAGTCCATTGACAGGGAGCTGCTGAGGTTCAGGCCGGATTCAGAAGAGGACATAGAACAAAGGATGTCATTGCTGATGTCAGATGGATCTTGGCTCAAAGCAGAGAATACCAGAGAAATATTACGTTGTCTTTTATCGACTGTGCAAAGACATTGGACCGTGTGAACCGTAACACACTGTGGACAGCCTTGAGAAGAACGGGAACTCAGAGCACGTCACTGTGCTCCTGCGGAACTTGTGCGTGGATCGAGAAGCAGTTGTACACGCAGAACAAGGGACCCCTACCTGGCTTAAAATCAGAAAAGGTGTGTGTCAGGGTGGCATCTTCTCACCATGCTTGTTTAATCTGGATGCTAAGCAGATCGCCAGAGAGGAGAGATTACAAGAAGAAGAGTGCAGCATCAGGATTGGAGGAAGATTTACTAACAACCCACGAGAAGCAGGTGACAAGACCTTGCTGTGAAGACCCAGGACTGCAGCCTTCAGTGTGTATCACACCCAGTGTGAAGAAAAGCAAAGTCCTCACAACCGGACCATGACATGATAAATGGAGAGCGTTTGAACTTGTCAGGGAGCGAGCAGTCCCCAGAGAAGGAGCGTGTTGGGTCAGGTGAGGGCCAGCAAAAAGGAGGAAGGCCTTTGACAAGACGGACTGGCACAGTGGCTGCAACAACGGGCTAAAGCAGCATCCTCAAACGATGGCCCACCGAGGACATTTGTCCGGCCCGCTGGGTGTTTTTCCCCCGTTATGTGCAGTGTGTATAGCCATTTGTTCATAGTTTTATTTTTTTAACTAGAGTCCGGCCCTCCAACGGGTCTGAGGGACAGTGAACTGGGCCCCTGTTTAAAAACTTTGAGGACCCCTGGCCACTAACGCGTAGGAGTAACTGCAGGAGAGCGCAGGGCCGGGCAGCGTTCCGTTTTGTTGTGCATAGGGTCGCTATGGGTAGGAAATGACTCGATGGCACCTGTCTCTGGTAGGCTATAAATGCTCTTCCCACTTTGAAACCGAAATATCTACAGTCATGTTTAAGCATTTATCTTACTTCTTTTGGTTTTTGAATCACGATTAGGAAAGCTTTTCCGCTCTCAGCATTTACAGGGAATCTGCCTCCTCGGGAGGTATTTTCATTCTTTAGATTTGGGGTGCAAGAGCCACTTGAAACAGCCTGGTGAGCAGTGGTGGACGCGTCCTTTTTGCCCTTCTCTCCAGACGCCTGCACAGCTCTGCGGAAGGGTGGAAAAGGAGACTAAAGTATCACTTTTTGCGTAAACGCCTGCTTTTCGGGGTTGGGGATTGACGTGTGCACCAGTGGCACCATAGCCACGCGGAGCGAGAGGCACTGTGGCCGCCACCCCGGTAACGCCATCCCCTCTGTTCTAGGTGAGCGACCTGGACGGCGTGCCGCTGATCCTGGACAGCTGTGGCATCGACGACAACAACCCCTGTATCCTTGCTCACGCCCTGGATCGGGCCTCGGCTTTGTGAGTCCACCTCCTGGTGACGGGTTGGCAAGCTTGTTGCCTGGCTGGCTGTTTCCAAGAACTAAGTGGGCGTCTGTGTCATGGAGCCGAAGTCACACTCCTGGGCAGTTTTCAGAGTAGTGAGTGCAAGTCTTCAAGATGCATGGTGTCTTCCAAACCTCCACGCTACTATAATGTGCAGGGCCGAGTCCAACACGGCCCTGTCCCCAGTGTCTGTGGAGCACGGGGTGCATGGGAGGAGCTTGAGGGCACCGAGCGTTCCGCTGCATGGACAGGTCGACAAGAAGAGGGGAGGAGCATCCCGGTGCGCTGAGGGCTTTACCACCCTCTGTTGTGGAAGCAGGACCTCTGGGCTGGCCCACTGGGTGGTGGTGCCCATGAGAGCTTGCTCACTTCTTCTCACGCCCCTGTCGCCCTCCAGCTGATGGGTCCCAGTGACACGTGGCCTGTGCAGGTTCTAGAACTCGCCTGGTCTCAGGAAAACCTCCCTCGGGAGAGGCCAGCTCAGATCTGGCCTCCTTTGGCCTCTGCATGGCCTGGTACTCCTGGCAGTGGAGAGGGATGAATGAGGCCATTGTGAGGCCTGGGGTGTCTCGCCTGGAAGCAGTGAGGGGCCCAGCTGATGGCTGAGGAGAATGAGATCAGGGGAGAGGGGGTTGAAATCAGCCCTGCCTCACTGCCTCTTCTGTCACAGAGGGAAAGGGAACTAAGGACAAACCGCGTCCAAGTCACTCGCCAGAGAGTGCCTGACTGTTGGTGCCATTTGATGAGCAAGAGCGAAAGCCCATCTGCTTGTAAGATCAGTCAGGGAAAGAGGGCTGCACCTCGGACGGCGCCTCCCTGGGCTCAGTGACTGCCTTAGAATCAGATTCTGTAGACCTGGCTTATCAGAGAAGTTCTGGAATACTTTTCCCACCAACCCCCAAACCGTCCCAGGAAACCCCTAGCCTCCCAGGAAAACAGTGAGATTCAGAATATAGAGATGCTATTTCTGGTGGTACCTTCTCTGGTTAACAAGGTGAGCTCTTGGGGACAAAACATGCATCCCTGTATTAGTCTAGGTACTTTGGAGAAACAAATCCACAGCAACTCACGTATAAGAGAGAATTTTATGCAAAGAAAATGTGCATCACGAAAACATCCCAACCCAATGCTGCCCAAGCCCACAAGTCCAACATTAACCCATCAACCCAACA